CGGGAAAGCATCATTTAGTTACTACGCAACAAACAGCTGGAATAAACTTCCTGAAGATTTAAGACTTGCCCCAACTCTGACCACGTTTAAAACAAGACTGAAAACTTTTATGTTCAGCTTCGCCTTCTGCTAAATTTTACCTACATTGTACTTTTAACCTCTGCCTTTAATTAAACAATTTAAATAAGATTTTAATTTATAATTTTATTTGCTTTTAATTGTCTTTTAATTCCTGCATTTTATTTCACTTTATTGTATGAAATGTTATGATGTGAAGCACTTTGAGTCTGCCTTGTGTATGAAAAGCGCTATACAAATAAACTTGCCTTGCCTTGCCTTGCCTTGCCAACAGCCGATCCCACTAATTGAGCCTCAGGCTTCCTCCCTCCTGTATCTACCTGTAAACACATTTACAAACACTGGAAACAACATCCTGATCCAGCTTCCTCAGCTTGACATCAACAGGTGAGATAGAGCCTTAACAAATTCACACTGTGAACTCTGTGCATACTGTGTTCTTTAAACAAATATCCTGTTTGTTGAACCGTTTGTGATCGTTTTTGAATGTTTTTTATAGGGGCTACAAGGTGCGGGGAGGGTTTTTGTAGTTGCTGCGCACGACAAAAAAAGCGCTTGGGTGATGCTCAGGAAATGTGTCGAGACGGAGCAGCGGTGTAGCTGCGAGAAAATTTGGTCACTTTTCAAAATAAAATATTTTTCAGAAAAATATATTTTAATAAATTTTAAAAATGTTTCCCTTCCTCTGCGCCCCGGTACCAAGTGGCCCGCAGACTGGTACCGGTCACTGAGGGATCCCTCTTCTGCCCCTCCCCCAAAGGTTTAATGCTTTTTCATCCTCCCCATTAAAAATCTTTCTTGGGGGGCGCTTTATGCTAAAATAAGATGACCACCTGCTGCCTCAAGCTTCCTTTTTAGTGTGTACCAGTGTTGTATCCTATTTGCTGAAGAAATATAAAAAGGACAATTGATGGTTTTAGAGAATAGTCTCGCAGCTGTTTCCCTCTCCTGTGTCCGGTCTTCCTGCTAAGCTGTTAACCCTGCTTCTCCAGCTGCATACTCAACAGATCCGAGAGAGGTGTCGACCTTCGCACCTATATTTTTAAGTTCCATTCCTTTTAAATGCTGGAATGCACACATATTTAAAAAATTCAAGGGCATTCATTTTGTTTCCATGTCAGACTGTTATATATGTTATATATGGCTGAATGACTCTGTGAGGTGTGAGGTATATCTCACACCTCACAGAGTCATTCAGCCATATATTCGTGTAACCAGCAAAGACAGTCGCAGAAACACTACTGATAGCTTCACATGGCCGTTGGATGACCCACGTGCAATCAGCAAGTTGGCTGCTTGCTCCTGTCATCAGCAACGCTGCCACCTGGGTGAAGTCCACACACACCTGGGTTTTCTGGGAGTGTGCCACTGGGAGGTACTGAGGCCGAGGTGGAGGGCTGAACGCAGGGCGTTAAACGACACACACCCAAGCAGACGCAAGTTTTGCATTATCTTGTATACAACTTAAGAAAACAATACAAAATGAGCTGGTATTGTAAAAAGAAGTCGTTGCTACAAGCTACATCAAGAACAGATAAGTAGGTCTTCAGAAGGGGACATTGACATGTTAGAAAGTAGATCGAATATGGTTTGAGTAGCAGAAAATTGAGGTATGTGATGGAGAAATATAAGCTTTCCTTAAGTCGTTGAATGCCTCCTCACTCCAACAGTAAATCAATGCATTTGGTCAGGCGCATTCTTGAAAATGTGGCTTTGGGAAAGAAAAGAGGGGTGAGCGACTCACATGTTGCTCTTGCCTGATCCATGGATTAATGGTTATCAACATTAAAAAGGTAAAATGTATTTCCCCTTGGATTTTGCATTGGAGTATTGGCGGAGTTTGCGTGCGTCTGCAGAATATCTGACGGGGCCGTCGGTGGCCCTCCAGAGGAAGCTACCTCCACACGCCTCTGCTCCGCTCCCCTATTCATTCTCCAGAATAATTCACACTCAGCTAAAAACAAAGCCGACCGGCAAACATTCTTTGGGGCTGAGATCTATCCGGGAGATAGATGAAAGGATATCTGCAAGCCTGAGTGTTGCAGATGTGACGTGTGTGCTGCTGTGTGGGAGGGGAGCGGGGGGAAGGGTGGGAATCGTACATGCTTTGGTTTTCAAGCAGGGTGGAACACTAAATGATTATTGACTAGGCCATTTTTCCGGAAAAGACAGAGTGGGGATGGTGCCATGGGCCAGTTTTACAGAACCTGACTAGCCTAAAAATAAGCTCACAGTGACTTCTCTCAAACAAGCAGAGAGTTCACAACCTCTTAAATCCTAAGAACAATCCGTATGCCATCTTGTATTTGCTTGTATACATTTCTCCAAGTCTCTGAATAGCTATGAGGTGGTGGATATAATCATTGTATATCCGCCCAAAAAAGCGTCAAACTGCGGCGCGTTTGTGTGTTTGTGTGTGTGTGTGTTGCTGCTGCTGGATCAGTGAACCTTTTATTGCAGACAAACACACAGCGACGAGTAGTAACAAACATTGATTTGTCAGACTTTTGGCTCCACCACTAATTAGAGCCGACTGTCGATGCCAACTCGCCCTCTCCTTGGATGAGTACCACTGCATTGTGTTTTGCAATGACCTTGGCTCACCAGACAATCACACACTCACACACTGACTGGTTTGTTAGCTTTTACTACAATTACTGGGGCGCATGTGTCAGTCGTGTTTCATCAGCAATCAGACAAGTCCTATCATGTGTAACACTGCTGTTGCTCTGTTACAGCCATGGATCTGTCTTGTTGTAAACTGAGAATCTGGCTTCCTACTTCCTGATGTTAGCGTGAGGTCAGCCTTTCTTCAGTGGGTTGTGTGGATGAAAGGCATTTACTTTGATTTTCTTTTTGCAATAACTTAGAATATACAGTCATTAGCGTGTTTTCATTGTAATGCTAACATCAGTATGCTTCGGTAATATGCTGACTTTGGTTACTGTATGCTAAAATGCTAGAATTTAGGTATAATGTTTATGTTGTTATTCATTGTAGTTTAGTGTGTTGGCATGCTATCATTAGCTACATAACATTAAGAAAAAGTACAGCTATGGCCAATGTTATGAACAACAGCCATATTCAACTTTTGACCCAATGATGCTATGGAGGTAAAGTAATCATTAAAAAAACACTCAATGGCTGATGGAAATACTGCCCACGTGGGTGTTTTGCATCAACCCTAGATGCAAAATTAATAAGCTGGAGTATGTGGCATTTTTTTCACAGGCCGCAGGGTTACGGTGGACAGCACTTGCATCCTTAAAGAGCTGAGAATGTGAATGGAATACAGACTATGAGATGTTATTTCTTCAGGACTTGTTTGATGACATTTAGAGCAGGCAAACCAGCCTTTGCAGCGGCAACAATTCAGACAGCGAAGCCCGATGCAGTGAAACGACTGAAGAGGACTTCCCAGGAGTCCGTCCCTGTGTGCCCAGCATGTCAGGCCTCTACAACACATATTCATTATTCAGAGGGTGTTCCTCGCCATCTATGCCACTGCTCTCCCATTCTCAGTTATCCCCACCATAGATTTATAATTTATCACCCATGCCCATGAATCTTTAATTGTTTGTAGAACACCCTTTGGGGGAAGTATAATTCAGTGATGAGTGCACCAAAAGCAAGCTGGGTCCAGGAAAGTCAAATTGCAGAAGATTCTTTGAAAAAGCCAGGATATTACGTAACGGTTCTGACCCCTTCAAAGTTATTCTCTGTGTGTCCGTACGGGTTTTAAGCTCCCTCTGTCTGTCTAAGCTCTACCTGAAAAGAGCTGCCAGCAGTGACCTTCCGCAGCCCTCATCCAAACTTAGTGGTCCAATGATGTTAAAATACTCAACTCCAGAAATACAACAAAATGTCAATAATATTAGATATGTAAAGCGCGCCAATGAGTCAAATTAACCAAGTTAAGTGTTGTACAGATGATATAATGTGATCAGTACGCCATACATTTTAATATTGTGTTGCCTTAAAAAATGCCTTGGCCGTTGTCTGCTGAGTCAGGAGCCCAAAGAAAAACTTTTAAAATGCTTATCCTCAGTAACTGCCTGAGACACCCAAAGCCTTGGTGAACTGTAAAGCCCATAAAAGAGACCGTTCATAGGCTCAATTAATAGTTTGCAAAAGTTTATTGGCAGGCTGGACCACCGACAGGCAGTTGAAGGTAATTTATGAAGCATCTGTCTGAGCTGTTTGTGAGATAATGAAGCCATCTCAAATCCAAGCATGCATACTCAACATTAGACAACTGCTTATCAGCCTTTCCTTCCTGAAATATTAGTCTGGGATATAAATGAATGGATTCATGCATAGATAAATATATATATATATACACGGTATATACATCATGTAAATTATGGTTTTGTAGCCAAATCTTTGACGCTCGATATCAATATCTCTAACTGTAATAGTAATTTCAGCACCATCACAGAGTCATGTCTGGGTCTCATGTGTTGTCAAAACATTTTGCTATTAGAGCATTTTGTTGGTTGAGTTTTGTGACATATTCTGATCTTTAGAGGATCCGTGTGAACTGTGTGTGAGACCGCAGGAGGGATGTGAACATCTTATCACTTATTAGCTTATCACATGTGAAAGGACTGGCTGGGCGCCCCGCTGTGTAGCCGCATGCATGCACAGCATTAACTCGGTTGTCTGAGCCTGTAGATTAATCTCTGCATTACAACGTATGGTTACGATTGCAATGATTCCTATTTGGCATCCTGTATTATGTGGATATTGAATGTTGTGTTGTATAATTATTCTCTATAATAAAACAACACATTGTTTCTACATACTTTAGATCTATGCTTTCTCTGTGGGTCTTGACACTCTTACTCTGTTGGTGGACCTTTGCCCTGCACTCGTTTCAGCGGCTCAGCACTGAGGGAGGGAGAACGTGGGTTACAAACGTCTTTGCAGCTTAGCAGCTCAAGTGCACATGTGCTATGCATAACTTCAGCCTTGGATTTCACATAACAAGGCACGTTAATGTTTTACTCACCTTGCCTTTTGTATTAGTTACGCTCATAGACATGTTGTACATATTTGACCCTTGAACCGTTTGGGTTATTTAACAGCACTGAGCCGTGAGAGTCCTGCAGCATGATGGCTTCACTTTGACCATAGCAGGTACGGTAGAAATGTAATTGTATATACAGTAACCCATGAAAAAAGTGTATATGTATTGTGTTTATATGTATTGTGTTCTCCAGATTTGGATACAGCTTTTTGTGTCCAATCACTTGCAATGGGCTTTAATTAAAACGCTTGAAAATCCCATGTTACTTCTAATCTGCTATTACTGACTGCGGTCCTCAAAAATGGCAAACTGTCTGACAGGCTGTTCAATATGTCAAGCTATTCAATGATCTATTGTACTTAACGGAAGACAATCATACAGGTAAACCGTTACATCAGAAGTGTTTTATAAACACCCATCATAAGGAAATTCTGATATTTGCTTACAGTCCACATACATAGTACAGAAATGCATACAAATAGACACAGAGGCAAAGAAATGATCAATTCATCCCTCTGTGATTGGTGTTGCTGGTACAGCTGGTTTTAATTAATGTGCTTAATGAAAGATGTATTGTGAGATACTTCACAATGTATGTATTTCTTAAGTAACTAAAACAAGCAACTTAATGCAGTGAGATGTGTCCTCCTTGGATGAGTTCCAAATGTGACTGAACCGTGAACCTGGAAACACATGCTACTTTAGACATGTGGGATAAAATATCACTGTATAAGGCTGTATTGTTGCTCATCAACACTTTTTGATGCAGTTTTTTTATTCCAGAAATTCATAGCAACAATACTTGAAACAAACAAATTCTTACCATGTAAAGTTTATGATTTATTATGAATACACAATAACAATTACCTGTCATGTGTTACTTCCACCCCAGATTCCAAGACATGACAAATTAACTCAATGTATTTCTTCCTAGACATATGAACATGCACTCCCCAGCAAAGGCGAGGGCAGCCGTGGCCCCCCCTGATGCTGGACACGGCTGGTTTATTCTGCTCTCCTGCTTCCTAGTATTTGGCCTAACCTTTGGGGTCATTAAGGCATTTGGTGTATTCTACGTTGAGATACACCAATACTTTGATACCACGGCAACAGGAACATCTTGGATTACCTCCATTGCCGTGGCAACCATTCACGTTGTGGGTAATTATCAGAATATACATATAACAGTCATATTCATGTCTTTATTTTAGACAACGGTAAAGTCAACTTTACATTAGATGACTGTGAGCAAATACAAACTTGAGTGTGTCATTGAATTAAATTATTATCTGCTGCAAATGTAAGCGTACGCAAGATACAATAGGATTCAAACTAAAAGATCTTCTGTGGTGTTTTCCATGAGAATATTAGTAAAACAGCATAAGCATAACATGTCCTAAATACCATAATTGATAAATGTCCTGTGTGTCCCTCTGCAGCTCCTGTAGCGTCTGCTCTGAGTGCTCGCTATAGCCATCGCTCCGTAGTGATGATGGGAGGACTGATATGCAGCGTAGCAGTCGTGTGTGGGGCTTTTGCTCGTAGCCTGATTGAACTCTACCTAACGGTGGGGTTCCTGAATGGTGCGGGGTTTGGAGCAAACACACACAAACACACACACAAACACGGAACCAGGCAGACCAAACATGATTTTCACTGATCTCCCTTGCTGCAGGTTTTGGCTATGCAATGACATGGACCCCCACTGTGACCATGCTGGGCTTATACTTTGAGAAGAGGCGTCCGATGGCAAACGCCTTGGCCAGCGCTGGAGAGTGCATCCTTACCTTTGTCCTCACGCCACTGTTCCAGCTGTTGATTGACAGCTACTCCTGGAGGGGGGCTTTGTTAATCCTGGGGGGTCTGCAGTTTAACCTCTGCGTGTGCGGGATGCTGTTGAGGCCACTAAAAGCCCCCAGAGACGTAACTCGTGAGGTCAACACAGCGGAGGAAGGCTTGACACTGGAATTGCTACCAAAAGACAACTCGGCACAAATCAAAACAAGCTCATCCAAAGGGTCGGATCACGTTTTTGAGGACGCTGAAGAGATACCTAATTCAATCGAGACAGACAACAGGACCAGGAAGTCTGATCTAAGGATAAAGATCCTTAAATACGTCGATTATACTCTCATCTCCAATGCCCAATTCATGGTTTACTCAATGTTTGGTTTTTTTGCCGCGTTGGGTTTCTTCGCCCCAGCTCTGTTTCTGGTCCCATACGCTCGCAGTAAGGGCATTGAGGAGTACCAGGCAGCCGTGCTCATGTCCATCTCTGCAGCGTTGGACCTATTTGGAAGGTTGTTCTTTGGCTGGGTGGCAAACCTTAGACTGGTGGAGACGGTACGTTTGGTTTAGTGATGATGATTCACTTAACAAGTATTTAAGAAGTAACTAATCAATAATCCAGCTCACATGAAAGGTATGGTATTTTTTTTGCCCTTGGATAGAGCCAGGCGAGCAGTTTCCCCAGTCAAATCCTTCTGCTAAGCCAAGCCAACCAGTTACTGGTTGTAACACCACATTTAGCTAAACATCATTAGAGTGATTTTTCACTTTTTCTCCTCTTATTTTTGGTAATAAAGGGAATAAGACCATTTCCCAAAATGTTTGGATGCCACCGTACGTGCTACAGCTGATGCACACTTCTCTCTCCTGTACGTGTACCAGGCGCGGCAGCTGACGGCCACAGTGATCCTGCTGGGGACGGTGTTACTCATCTGCCCGGTGGCCTCCTCGTTCTCAGAGCTGGCGGTTTTCAGCGCAGTTTACGGCCTGGTTTACGGTGCCACGGTTGCAGTCCACATCACCGTGCTGGCTGAGATTGTGGGAGTCAACCGCTTTGGAAGTGCGCTTGGTTTCTTCATGCTCATACGCAGTAGCGGAGGCCTGCTTGGACCTCCTATTGCTGGTAAGTTGGAGGATGCTTTGATAGTTAATTGCAAGTACGTGGAGTGCGTACTCCGCGTATCAGCTTTCCCTTGTGATCTCTTGCAACATGCTAACTGGCTAGAAATAAACAAGAAGCTGCACAGAGTAGATTCATTGAGTGCATGTTAACATTGCTGTTGGCTGTAGGAAGAAGCTCAAATCATTTATACAACATGATGGCGTCCGTCAGCCTATTCTTCCAGCACCTTGAATCTGACAGAATAGATGTGCTTACAGACCATTCTGCATTGTAACCACAGCCCGTTGAGCCTATTCGACAAAAATAAGATTCTTATATATCTGCATGCAGCAGAACCCTTCAATTAGTCAGAAATTCCCGAAGGACCTGGGGCTTTATTCAGGGAGCAACTGTGCAAGAAATTATACCATTATGATACTTTCTGGTTGTGTTAATTTCATGGCTGATCGCTTGTCGAAGATTTTTTTCTTTCCCTCAAATAATTTTCCGTTCTGTTGATTGTGACAGTTTTCCAGATTTGTACACGGTGTCCTCCAGAACACAAGAACAACAACAACTGTGAAAGGGAAATAGCAAAGGGAGTAGAGATGAGCAAACCGGTGACCAAAGTGATGACTTTGGCCAAATAGTATGCTGACGTGGCAGAAAGAAATAATGAGAGTGGTGAAAGTGATTATTAAACAGTGTAGTTGCAGTTTATAAAACCAATACAATAAGCTGACAGATGTTGAATCACTCATGGGATCTGAGGAGAATATTTGCTCATTATACTAATACAAAATCAAAATACTGCAGCTTCAAGTTATGGGACAATATATAAAAGTACCAGCAGACAAATTCAATAACAAGGGCATATTTCTGTTGTTTTGGCTCAATCACAGTGTTCTTCCCTCAAAAGAATTCATTTTGTGGAGTTTTAATGTATATTTCTGTTTTTTTTATTAGATATGATTTGTAAGAAACATTACTCAAGGCTGGCGACTCTCTCATCCCCTTATCTGTGCACTTAGGTGTCCATAATTCTTTGTATCCCACCATTTTTCCAAACTCTTCTTTATCGTGAATCAAATCAGTTGCGTAGGGGAAACACCTCTCATTGCCACGCTCTGTCCTTTCTCCATTTCCCTTCCACCTCAAAGGCTCCTGAAAGCCTTCTACCACACGTGAATATAAATTTGAAGTTAATGCTAATAGCTGGAGCTGACCTCAAGTAAAAAGCTAATTAAGGGGAATATGGCGTCTATTTAAAACTCAACGCAGGCTATTTCTTTACTTATTTACTGTACTGTTCATTACTTGGGCTATACTTTGAAGACCAGGCAGTTGATGGATGTTGAGGATTCATCAAAGCCTTCCAATTAGCTTTGCTTCATGTGAAGAAAGTGCTGGCATTACTGCCTGAGGATAACATACAGTATATAACATATATATATATCGTGCAATCCTCTCCTCCTTATCTCTGCCTCAGTCTTATGCCTCATTTAGAAATATCTGAGATTACAAGAAGACAAAATGATAGTTGGTAGTGATGGCGTGCTTTGCTGCATCTGCGTCAAGATTTAAATGGGATGATTAAAATGTGACTCTGTTAAAGGTGTAAATCACTCAAATGCATTTTCCACTTTAGGATTCTTCATAGACAAGATGCATGACTACGGAACGGGTTTCTTAATGGCTGGAGTCTCTCTCAACGTCTCTGCCATGTTCCTGCTCCTCCTCCTTCATCTGAACCGTAGGGGTCAAGGGTCGACTTCCAAACACACTGATATGCATTAACAGAAGATGACACCAAAGCCAAAGAGCTAAAACCGAAGAGCCGGACGTGAGATGAATGACTGAAAATCTGTTTCGGTTGCTAATAGACGAAGCGTAATTGAAGAGACCTGGATTACAGACAAAGGATAAATCAAGTGAAGTCTTTTTACAAACCCCCTGCGGACTTACAAGAGGATCAAACCCCTTGATTTATTTCAACCGTTACTGATATGATTGGCTCTGCAGGTGCCTTCTCAGTCCTCGGGCAGCTTAAAGCTTTTGTTCATGTGTTTTCACCTCTCTCATTCTTAAAACAAGCGCACACTGGTGTGTAGCACTCATGTTGCTCTTGTAGTTTCGGGAGAGTTTGAATATTTGCTAAACCCGTTGCTGGCCATGCGTTTGACAATAGAGCATTTACATTGTTTTATCTGTTTAATGGTTGTACTAAATGTGGAAATCAGGTAATTGTATGCTTTACATTTTTAAGTTATATGTTGTTAAAAAGTCAAGGGGCATATTGTATCTAAAAAGCAACTGCAACTTACCCTGGTGATGTATGTACAGTATGTGAAGTGTTTACGTTGAACATTGAACCCCATCACTTTTTAAACTGATGTGACACGACTAAAGACAGAAGCTGTGGTCCCATGAACTTCTATCTTCTAACCCTTCCATCAAGATCAAAAGTTTGACAGTTTGCAAGAGTTTGACAGTTTGACAGACATATTCTGTGTTACAGACACTGTCTTAAAGTCTGTTAATGCAGTAGTTTCATGTAAGTGTGGATGCTGGATCGCAGAGTAAATGAGACTGTGGCTCCCTCCAGTGTGAAGCTACTGATATTGTATTTTTAACCCTCTCGACAGCTGGACTGAAAAGTGCAAATAAGTCCAAATATTACATCACAGGGAGGTTTGTGGAATGTACAGATGTGCACCAAACAACCAAATATCAGTAACAACTGTATTGTTTTACGAATCAGTGCTCTAACTGAACACGCAGCGTTTTGCTGCTGTAAGTAAAATACACTGATCTGTACAATTTTGGCCGTGTTGAATTGCATCATTGAAAGGAAAAAAAAAGCTGTGAATAGTCCAGTGTTTGTTTTTTCAAGTTCAATCCCAATGCAGCCTGAAGCCCGAGAGAAAAGGCTTTTCTCCATTTTCTCCCTCTGCTGCAGAATGTTTGGTATGTGCAACCAACAAGAAAAGTAGCTTTCATAACCGCGAACCAACAACAGGCACTCGATGAAGATAAACATCTTCATCCTGGCCGAACGCAAGCACAAATAAACATGTCGCTCTGCAAAACTCCGCAATAAGAAACACAAAAAAACAAAGAGCGTTCCACATTGCAATCCCCCCCCCACTACTAATGGACAGAAGCTACACACCCCTCACACACACACACACTCATTGTCATGCATACACTAGAGAAGAAAACATGCCACAACAAGAGAGTTGGTCACAATATACCACAAGCTTTTGATCTGCCCGAGATCAACACAGACAGTAGTGCATGTTTCATAGAAACTCTACATAAAACCAAACACACACTCAAACACAAAGACATGCACACACACGCGGTTGACTGCCAATAGAATGCAAAGCCCTCCTATTATAAAGGAGGAGGATTTCCAGAACAGTGAACCTATCAAAACCACTCTGAGTCACTGCGATGTCATCAGGGCAACATCGGCTTGGCAAGTGGTTTAACAATTTTACACAAGAAGAAGAGTTACAAACTAGAAGTGCAGGGTTTGAAAAAGAGTTGCTTTCAAGCACGCGGGAGAATCTCATGATAGACGACCACTAGGGACCAAAAGGCAGGACAGCCCGGCCTCCGCTGCTTCGAATTTGACCATGCAAAGCGTGTGTGCTTCTACTTCTAGCAACTAAGTGAGACAATTTGTGTGTGTGTGTGTGTGTGTGTGTGTGTGTGTGTGTGTGTGTGTGTGTGTGTGTGTGTGTGTGTGTGTGTGTGTGTGTGTGTGTGTGTGTGTGTGTGTGTGTGTGTGTGTATGTAAAGAGGGGGGGAAAAGCAGCAGCACTGTCTATATTTGACCCTTTCGCCATCAAGTCCAATAAGGCAGAAGACCCAGGAAGAGCTTTGAAGTCTACTCGGCCCGTCCCAGTCACTTGGACCCTGAAGTGGAACCCCTCGGAATTGCCAAAGAGAAAGCTGAAATAGCTTTTTTTTCTCGTTTTTTTTGTTGCTGACCTTGCTCCCCGGGGTCATGTTGAGGAATGCTGCACGTCAACCTGAGTTCAAAGCTCTCAGAAGCCCTACGTGAAAATGGTGGAGGTGAGAGGACAAGTAGAAGGGCGAGGAAAAGGGAGAGACCTAAATAGGGCAAAACAGGGGATAGAAGGGAAGATTGAGGGGAAACCAGCTGGGAGAAAGATAGGACAGGCCAAAATGAGGAGATAAACTTAAAACCAAGGAGGAGCACCAGAGGGAACAGTAAAAAGAGGCAAGCTAAAGCTGGAAAAAAAGGGCGAGGGGAAATGAAACAAGTTTCAAGAAAGAGAATGACAGAAACAAAGGATTTACTGTGTAAGAAACCAGTTGAGTAGCATCAGACTTTCTGCTGGTTAGGACCAACGGAGGATGAAAGATAACGATACAGGAAGGAAAAAGTCATGAAGGGGAAGCAGTTGAGATCGGTCTTGACTTTAACCTCCTCGAGGATTAGAAGAAAAGGGACAGACAGAATGAGAATCCGGGTGACCACACTCCTCCTCCGACAGTTGCATGAGTAATTTTACTATCATCATCTGGAGAAACCTTTTTTTTCCAAGATCGAACATTCACAATCATCATCATTTATTAGTAAAATTCAAAATATACCCAATCCACAGCTTCAATCTGCAAAACCTTTCCAATGAATAATACAGAGACAATTCTTTCACAGGCTGGATGCGTTTTTATTTTCTTTAGCTTTCTCTAGCTCTGAGTCCAAGTTGAACCTGTTTATTTAGTTTGTAATAAGCATGGTCTCTTCATACATTTTTACAACACAAGATTAAAGTGACTTCATTAAGAAAGTAAGAGAAGCGGTACACAACTCAGGCAGATGTTTGGTCTTCATGGTTGGTCAGTTGTCTATCATTCCTCCTGCCTGTATTCTCTGGTCGATAATACAGTGGAGCAGATTGTCTCTTCTGTCAAATGAATCCACAAGACAATGTTCTCTGAGAGGTAGGTTTTACCACATCACTAAGACTCAAACTGAATAATTAATACAAACGCACATCCCATCACAGACTAAAGTAATCATTAACTCAGAGATTCTTCTGCCCTGTGCAGGCACACTTTAAAACCAATTCCAGGAAGCAGCTGATGCCCATTGAACTTTTTTTGAATGGAGACAGTAGCAGTCTATTTTGTACCAAACACATCACAGCTGACCCCTCACCCCTTCCCGGGCCGGTCTCTGACACCCACTGACAGCTCCAATTTGGGATGAATGGCTTTGACCGGCTTCCGCTTCAGGCCTCAGCACACTGAGACAAGAGCGATCCGCCACAGCAGCGTGCAAAAAGACTGTAAAACTGCAATAAAATGATGAATGCAATTTTCCCCGTATTAGCTTGCTTTGTTATAATGGCCAATAAGTGATAATGCCAAGAAGGGATAGTTCCAAAAAATAAAAAATGGAAGTGGATCTATCAATGGGAGTAACTGTGCACTGGTGTGAAACCCGAGCCGGACCAGTGCCGAGCAGACGGTCTGACACAGTTTTCCAGAAGTCCCTCTTGTGCTCGGAAACACTAACACTGAAACACTAACACTGTCCTTTAGCATGGACGGACAAGATCAACACAAAAGTGAGACATGTACCGAATGCACACAAGGAGGCAACGAATGAAAGTGGCAGATATAACGTTGCGATAGGATGTTTCACAACAGGCTATAGACGGATAAAGATTCACATCTCTGTACGGCATTTTCCTTCAAAAAATCCTGCTTTCAGTGATAAATCTGGTAACAGAAGCAAGTGCGAGTTCAATCCCAGATGTGTACACCTCTAATTGTGTTGAATGCAAACATATTGCATCTTTGTAAACGTTTCGGGCACACGGTCAGTAACTGCAGCCTATCGCCGAAGTCTCTGTTAGTCCACAAAGTGCAACAACTCCATCCAGATGCACAAGCTGGGCCTCATTGTGAAACACATGCCATGCATATTCCCGTTCGCCTTGTATAAAACCACCCCCCCGTGCTCGTACAATCCTCACGTGTGGCCGAGGCGCGGTCCAGACGAGACCCATTAAAACCGTGAGCCAGACTGAAATGAATCTTGACCATCAGCGAGCAGAGGTGTTGCGAAGCCCCTTGAGACACTCCGCCCTGCAGAAACAGCTGCAATGAGCCACTTTCACTCAGATGAAAGGAATCTCCGTCTTCTGAGTGAAGACTCAAGTCTCTAAACCCTTTACCATTCTGGCAGACATGATCTCTGAGGTGTTCCTTTCCCTCCGTTCTCGTTTTGTCGTATACATTATTTTTAGAATTCACATTTCGCCAGCATTAACAGCTGTACAACCGAATGCTGTGTCTGGACAGCTGTGGGAGTCGTTATGCGTACCGTTGGTATGTGTGGAGTTACATTAGACCACTCTGTGTGAGTGTGTGTGCGCTTGTTAGACTCAAAGGCTGTAACATGTGAATTCTTCACCTCTTAGTCTGTTCAATATTCCTGTTTTCATTCCAGTATGGAGGAAGGGTGGATGTGAAAGATGTGAAAGTGTCAGGGAATATAACTCAAAACTCAGCAGCTGCAGCTTTTCCACAATTCATTGGGGAAGAACTGCAGACGGCTCAGGGTGCGGTGCAATTTCACACAACCATGACAAGATAATGCAACACAGAGCTCAATATTGTTTTCACTCTGGTCAATTTCATTCCACTCCACCATACCAGACGCTTCTCAAATCCTAAACAGGAACAGCATCATGTTCATGTTCTGTTATCTCTCCCCCCCCCCTCCCACTCTAACTATTTACTCTGTCTTTTGTGTAACGGAAGCCGTGGGCCTCCCAGTGACATGAGCGCTGCTCCTGTAAAACTAATAATGACTGAGATTTGTGCAGGCTTAGCATTCTTTCTCCCTTTCAGGGCAAGACGCTGAGAATGGGAATGAGGGGAGGGGATGGGGAGAAAGATCCAGTGGTACGGTGTGTGTGTGTGTGTGTGTGTGTGTGTGTGTGTGTGTGTGTGTGTGTGTGTGTGTGTGTGTGTGTGTGTGTGTGTGTGTGTGTGTGTGTGTGTGTGTGTGTGTGTGTGTGTATAGGGGATGTCTTAGTTTGAGAGGGTGCAAAGAGGGAGACAGAGAGGCCCATTTCTCTGAAATACACCACATGCTTTCATGTGCATGGGTCAACGACACAGAAATCCTATACATTCTCACATGCACATTCATACACAATCAGCGGTGTACCCCTCCCACTCTGTCATATAAATCACGCATGTCCTGTCTTTAGGAAAAATCCGGAATGTGAACACGGATGCTGGATCAGTTAATACTTTACAATTACCACTTCAACTCTGAGCCGTCATTCAACAAGTTTCTTGTCTTTTGTCAAACCCCACACTTAACACATCCATGTGTTCTCCCTCCTGCAACATGTGAGCCGCGGCATACAAAGTATGAGCGCCTGACCGGCCACTGACACGCAGAGATCACCAGATGTGCAACGAGATGCAACAAGCGGAGGGGAGGGAGGTGGGTGGGGGGCAAAGGGGGAGGTCCTGCTCACGCACTGCCCCGTGTGATGCTCTCCCCCCCCCCCGACCTCACAGACATGTGCGCACGCTGCGCCGGCGGACAGTTGCAACTTTTGCAGCGACTGACGCCCAGCTGCCGTTTCTCCCTCCACCGGCTCCCGGACTACATTCCTCCTTCCTGCGTGTCATCCCTCCATTCACCCCCCGCGGTGCGCTGCTTTCCCCACTTTCCTTATTTCCTCTCCTCTGTCGTTGAGCCCTGCACTTTCCCTGAGACGGAGAGAGAGAGAGAGAGAGAGAGAGAGAGAGAGAGAGAGAGAGAGAGAGAGAGAGAGAGGGGGAGAGGGGCTTGTGTAATCTCTGGCTGCACAGTTATTGCTTCAGCTGGAAAAGGGCACCGGGGACGCGTAAAGGACACGCTTTGGAAGGAGAGCAGGAGAAGGTGAAGTAAGGCCGGCGGACGCGGACGGACGGAGTTTGGAGTCGGGGAGCAGGACGCGGACCATGTCGGGCTCTGCGCTGCTGCTGCTGTCCCTGCTGTCCCTGCTGCTGCTGTCCGCGGGGAGCGACAGCAGCAGAATCAGGAAAAGAGGACTCAACCATAAGGTTTGGGATGCTAACCTTTTTTTTATATCAAAGTGGAGAAAAGCGCACAGCGCACTGTTGCCCAATTGCGTAACACGCTTTATCAGGGGTTCACGTTGACCTTGCGTGCGTGCTCTAACCCAGTAGCTGAAAGGCCGTCGGTGGGGATTAGATTGGTTCTAACAAAGTGCTGCAATTAACGGAATAGTTAAACGAGAAGATCAATAACAGCTGACTGAGGAGCTGAACAGCTCAGCCACCTGCCAGCAGCGCCTCCAAAAGCGCACCAATCCACTCATGACGTCACTTTAGCGCACATGTAAAGAATAAAAAAAGTATAAAAACTCATGTGTGGCAAGGAGCTCTGTGTGAGCACAGCAGTGGCATCCAGAGCTCAAACTGCATGTTCTTACGTGCTTGATTATTTTTGTGCGGATTAAACAAACACGATAAAACAGCTGCTAGAGTTTTTGTATGGATTTCAAACTTGCTGGCTTTTCCCTGTTTCCAGCCTCTATGCTAAGCTAACCGGCTGAAGTGCTGTGGCACTATTTGTTGCACAGCAACAAAGAGCTGTATCTGTAAATATGATTTTGAAGACTGTCTACTTTACGTAATTACATCCATGTTACTTTTTTTACTGCTACCGAAGGAATAGGGAAACATTTTTATATTCCACAATCTAAAAAACGCTGCGGGTGAATGCTGTAATAATTTGCACTTTGAGAAAAGGATTATTTGTTGGTCCATGTATTTTTATTTGCCATGTTTGCTACATTGGGCCTTACTGCATTGCAGTATTGCCTCAAGTAGAAACAGAAGAAACCGTAACAAACACGCTTTGATGTCTGAAAAATACACGTGGACCGGAGTGTTTTTCTTCTTTGTGCAAGTGTGCAACAGGTTGGAATAAGTTGCTGATTTTCGTGTTTCCATATGAGTAACCGAGGGGACTTTTACAACTTTTGTCACTGTGTGTGTGTGGAGTGAATTATTAGGGCAGGAACTGAGCGTGCAGACTGGGCCCCTGCTTGTTAACTCAACTCAGTGTAGCTGATTGATCGGCCCTAACAAAGGCTCACTGTAGCGTGCCTCCTTCTCTTTCTTTTTTTCGCTCTCTTGCTTCAATGTTCTCACTTTCTGGCTGGTTTGTGGCCCCCGTTGGCCCTTTTCTCTCAGTCGCATGAATCGGTTAACCTTTTCCGCCTCCCTCCGCCCTGCTTTCTCCATCCCCTGGCCCATTCCCACGCCAGCCCTCCTTTTTCTCCTCTGAATCTCTTCCCCTCGTCTCCTCCCAGGATGGGCCCGAATGCACCGTCTTGCTTGACTCTGCTTCAAAGCGGCTGTAATTGGAACATGCTGAGACGGCTGTGCGGGAGGAGTCTGTCTCTTTTTTTCATCTGAACCTTTTCATCTCTCAATCTCTAAATCTTTAATTTTTTTTTTCAACCACCTCCCCCACACGCAAGCAAGCGCGCACACACAGCCTCTGCCTCATTCATAACGTGAGGAAAGACAAATTATAGTCACAGAGAATTTTCCGTAGGCACGGCGCTGTACGGAACAGTCAGTGGGTCTTGAAAGGAAAATTGGTAAAAATGTTAAACAAACTCCAGGCCACCAGCATGCTGACTCGCTTATGTGTTATGTATCATTTTCAAATAAGAGGTGTAAAAACAAAACATAATTAAATATATACATATATATAAAGAAAGGTACGTTAAAATATTTTGTTGCATTATTATGTTGTTCGCAGTGTTTTACTTAAAGTTCCTCTCTTATCTATATCTATCTTAAAGGTTCAAAGGTCACCAGTAGCACTTTTCCTGTTGATTAATACCGCTTAATAATACGTAATAAGGGTGTAGAAAAGAAGGTGAGAGGCTATTACAACCCAGAGGAGCCCGTTTGATGTGTGTGAGGGGAAGATGGATTGGGGTAGGCAGCAAAAGTAGCACCCCCCCCCCCACACACACACACAGAGATAATTTAGGCTCATATAGCCATAACACAGTCTGTATGTGCCTGGGCATGTCGGTGAGCACGCTGTTTGAGGCTACTGTCGTAAATCTCTACAGTTTGAATTTATTTGATGTGAAGTGAACCATGTACAGCCTACTTCCTCGAGCGACTGACGCCCAGCTGCCGTTTCTCTTCTCACCGGCTCCCCGAACTGTATTCCACCTTCCTTCGTGTCATCCCTACGCCGCCTCCATTCATCCCCTCGGTGCTTTGCTTTCCCCCCCTTGAGCTGACCGGCTTGCTCTTTCACTCGGCTCAGGGCAACTACGTAAAACTACAACAGATTCTGCTTGTTTGCTGATTTGGATGACGAAATGTCTACGCCATGTAGCATTTCCTGACGCCATGAAATAAGAATAAACCAGGCTGTTCAGGTCTTGAGCTGTGTTGAAGGGGATTAAAAGTGATATTTTTATTGCAATGGTTCAGAACCAGCACTTATATGAATATAATTACACAATTATTAATGTGATTTTGCTGATACACTGGACCCTGACTCCTGCGTTTTTTTAACTGGACCCATTTACTGCTGAACGCAAGGAATTTATTTGCATTCAACAGCACCAGCCCAGGGAATGCATGACAAATACAGTACAGCCTTGGTTGGTATTGGCGGTTTAAAAGTCGTATCGCCATTTAAAACGGCAAAATTTGTGTTGTGCACTGTTTGCGGCTCTCTGTAGTCAGTTATCCAGTAGTGACTCAAACTGGTGTGAATGGCTCTGAGCAGGACTAATCCCAGTCAGATGATGTGAGTGTGCTGACCAGAAGCCTATTATTGGACTAACACTGGAGTATATTGCCTCTCAGTAGGCCACCATACGCACAAACCAGACCATCACATCTCCACATGCACTTCACCTTTCTCACCTCGCGCCTCTGACGTCCCAGACATTGATCTTGTGTGGCGACCGAGGGAAAATTCATGGCACTCACGGATACTCTCCCTTCTCAATTAATTTACAGGCTACAGTTAGAGGAACAGTAAGCTCAACTGTGACTCAATCTACCTGTACATGGAAATGAGTCCTGACACCCCAAGAGACGAACCAGATGTGTGCTGTGTGCTACTTAATCTAGTAGAAGACATCGGAGGTGTTGCACATTTAAGTTGACGCTTTAAATAGCAAAAGAAAACAAAATAATGCATTTTTCCCTTGTTGACGCAAACATGTGCACAGCCTTGACCGTGCAGTAGCGTATTTCTGGGAGTACTTATGTCCCTGTGTGCCTAAAGCACAGGAAACCGAAAATCTCACTATCAGTCTAAGATATCTGCGTGGAAGCATGAGCGGCCGGATCTCAAAACAACCGCCGAACCAGACAGGCTCTCCAGTGCGACTCCCCGTGAAACCACAGAGCACTCAGAAGGGAGAACAAAAAAAAGGGCACTGAGATTTTCAAAATGACCACGACAGACAGAGAGGGGGGAAAGAATGCCCGCAGATAAACATGAACCCGCTGCCAGTGTCTACTGGAGAGCAGCACGGCAGCCAGGGGTGTACAGTAAATAACCACCGGGGAACATCAAAGAGATGAGCGCTGGGTTGCACAAAAGATCTCACGATGTAAAGCCAGGCACGGCCCTGAGAGTGAAGCCGTCAAAAATAAAAACTATGTTCAGAGTGGCGTGTCTTCTTCAGCATACGTGTGCACAAGGATACTCACGCTTTACACACGCGGCGGCATAAACAGGAAGGGCACACTTGACCTTTGGTCGGACACATTTGCGAGAGTCTGTAGGGACAGATCGGATATGAGACAGGGAGATTGAGGCCGGTCATTGCGTCCAATCACAGCAGACTTTGTAGTCTCCATTCATAGATTTGATAGCAGGAGGCGACGTCATGAACCACTTTGGCGCCGCTTATCTTCTCAGAGCCATGAATGACGAGTTTAGGGGAGCACGATTATGCAGAAGCAGCTGTGAAATGTTAAGGTTAAGGTTTTGAGACCGCTCTCAATATGACATCTGCATTTGAGCCAAATAGAACGTGCATCAAAGGTCCAGAGGCAGAAACGGATGCAGAGACTCTGTGCGACCATATGGCATCAACTGTAGCCAATGGGCTACCAAGGCCCTCCGGTTATTATTCTTTTATAGTTCAAGTTTTACTGTACTTTCACAGGAGCAGATCACAGTTAAACACCATATCTACTGTGTGCAGACGCACACAAGCACACACACACACACTGTGCCTCTGATATGCCAGACATTCCTTTTGTTTGGCAGCAGTGAGATGTCATATCATCTCAAGCAACGGAAAGGAAATTCTTAGCAACTCCAGTCTGTGAATGTGAAGAAACCTGTTTCCTTCACTCTGCAAACAAAGTGCAGATATGTGTACAGTGGAAAGTTGAGGAAATCGTTTAAGATAGCAAATAGTTCATTTAACCACACTGAGCAGCGTTAGGGCTCAATGGGCTTGTGCTTCCGGGTCATCTCATGATTGAAAGTCCAATATTTACTTTCATTTCACCTCTGATTGGGTCTCCACCAACTCCTGAGAAAAGAATCTGGCTCTTTAGCTGCTAAACGCTCTACTATGTAAACTTGCTTATCAATAACTTTGTCACAGCGGGTTCTTTTAGATCAAAAACAGCTGCCTGTTGCAACAACGTTGCAAACAGCCGTGAGACTGACTCACAGCTACGAACAAACTACAGTTCGGCCAGTCTCACAAAAATATTTGAAATTTGAAACCTAGGGACGTACAATCTAAACTCAGACTGCTTTGTGTGACGTGCAGGAACCTCAGCGCTTACAGGCTTTGACTGCATTGTTCCCTCCGTCCCCGTATGGTGTGAATCCCCCACCCGACCCCCCCAAAACCCTCCAACCACTAAGCTCTCAGCTGCCACAACGAATTAATGTGGGTCTAAAGTGAACGCCCGTACAGTGTGTGTGATCCCACCGTCTACGCCAAACATTTGCTTTCGTTTCGTGTTCAGTAGGCCTGCCAGGTTTTAATGACCGTGCGCGACCCACCAGCTGATTATCTAATTACTAATCTGGTACAGAGGAAAAACACCCTCTCTCTCTCTCTCCCTTTCTCTCACACTTATCAAATTAAGTGGACTGGAAGTCAAAGAAAATCACCCGGACAACTGCAATAGACATATATTGAGAAAAACTGAGACACCGGTTGTGCTTCTTTGACATTTAAAAAACAACTGTGGAGGAATTTCATTTGATTATAGTACAAAGGATTTAACATTCAACCAGCAAAATAACTGTGTTTCCGCAAGGGCAAAGAGTTCAAAAGTAACTGTGGCATCAATAGAAGTAATGTTAGATCAGCACAGTGTTGGTAATTGCTATTTATGGTGAAGAAAGGAATGGAATGAACCGGATGAATCAAAAGCAAAGCCAGTGTTTGAGAAAGTATGCAAGTTAACTGTTTAGTCAACGGCAACCCTCGAACAAAGAATAGATGCTTGTGCTGTGGCACGATACAATTTGTGAAAGCATACATATCATTTCTGTCCTGGATGTGTCCAAAGTAATGAACGAGAATAAATCAGCAGCAGCTTAGTGAGACACAGATGTTAAAACCCCAATCACTATGGCTGTGGTACAGATCTCGTTAATCTATCCTCTGCAATGAATTAAAGTGAAGATCTTCCCAGCAACACTGGAAGCCTTTGGGCCCGCGCTTAATGTTGCCAAAGCGTGTGAAAGGTGTCTTCGCTTGGCTCAGAGGGCCGTGGCCTACTTTTCCCCTCGCAGAAACACTAGAGAAGCATTTGTTCGCAGAGTGAGTCACGTCCCCGTGACTTTAGCATGCAGGGCAGACTCACTGTAGTGAGTAATCACTCAGATCTGCTACCGCCTCCTAGTGGCCAGAAGGTGTCACGGTTCTACAAGCACACACAGCGTCCAGTGCCTCCTCCAAATGACTCCAAGTACAGATTACAATTTTTAGCATGCTGCTTTCTAGATAAATGCTAGAAAACAGCTGCGTGATCCGACCACATCTGCATTTGTATGAATCTCTTTCAACATGCGTATTTTTTTCTGTCCTGCAGGACTACGAGTACCCCAACCACCCCCAGTCCACGCAGCAGCAGAAGAACGACCGGTGTCCACCGCCACCCCAGATGCTGCCGGAGAAAGCCTGCGAGGTGCCGGGCTGCCGCTCGGACTCGGAGTGCGAGCGCCACAAACGCTGCTGCTACAACGGATGCATCTACGCCTGCCTGGAGTCCGTCCAGCCTCCACCAGGTCAGCAGAACCACCAGAGAGTCGCACGCGGTTGTGTTTGAAAAATGGGTGTTTGTTTTTCTCTTGAAAACCCTTCGATGAGTACGGGATCTGTGCCTGTTCTGAACAGTGCTGGACTGGCTGGTGCAGCCCAAGCCTCGGTGGTTGGGGGGCAACGGCTGGCTGTTAGACGGCCCGGAGGAGGTTCTGCAGGGTGAGTGCACACAAACACACAGAGGAAACGCTTCGATTCTAACGCAATCCTGCCTTTGCTCAGTGACGACACCAGGTTTCACTCAGCGCATTTTGTCTTGATTTTACAGTAGCTCGACGTCTGATGTTGATGATCAATAAGGGGGAAGCAGCTTAATAAGAAGGCGCATGTAGATCAATTTAAACCACTAGTATTAGTATCAGTAAATTTAAATGAGACAAGTCCACAAACAGAAGAAAAGCATACCAGCATCATAAGAAATATGTCTTCTCATATATTTTCTGTCCACCAGCTGAGGCCTGCAGCACGACCGAGGATGGAGACGAGCCTCTTCATTGTCCCACGGGCTACGAGTGCCACATCATTAATCCAGGAAACCCTGCCGCTGGCATCCCAAACCGGGGACAGTGTATCAAGCAACGTGGCAACTCTGGTATGGCGGGAGCAGTTTCCGTGGCTAATATCCATTAATTTCACACACATCATTTCCTATCTAAAATGTTTTCTTTAAAACTAATCTCTTGCTTGTCTGATTTAATGGAACAGAATTTAATGGAACGTGTGTGCTCCTTTAAATCCTAGATGGACGAGGACAGGACTCTTTGAGTCTGGCCTCGTAGTCTTGGCACATCGCATGCTGTTAGCAGCCAAGTTTCTCCAATTAAATTGATCTAACAAAAAACTCAAATTGGTCGTCAGGACAGATCGCCTCAGTATATGATTTGTGGCTGAAGCGGTTGGCAGAAACATTAAACTAATGCCTTTCAAAATGGCATTTCAAGCCAAAGTTAAAAGTCCAACCGTGTGATCATTTTATTTTTTTATTTTTTACAGAAGGACGTCTCAGGCACAAATACTCCAAGGATTACAAGGACTACTTGGGTAAGTGAGGTAATGTGGACCACCTGAAAACGCTCTACCATTACTGAATCACAAATCGGCGCCAATCCTCCAGACGCGCTGATGGCTCTTTCCCTGACAGGTACCAGCTCGAGCAACGGAGTGGACTACGAAAAAAGTCATCACAAGCACCTGGGATAAAGTATGTTTTTTTCGGTCGCGTCAAATCTTCCGAAAGACTCCTGCGTCTTAGCTCCTTTTTAAACAAAGGCCAATGTTTTTTCCGGTTCTGCCCTCAGATCGGCCCGACCTCAGGCTCACCCGCGGCCTTAACACAACCCGAGACATCACCCCAGTCCTGTTCGATCCGCTCTCATCACCGGATCCCATCTGACCTTTCACCAGACCTCCAGCGGCTACCTCCTCCTCCCTAAAGCCCCGTCGTGCAGCCTGTCCTCACACCGTCTTTTGGTCTCCCTGTCTGTGAGAGAATGTAGCAGTTGATGGTGAAGCAGCGCAGTTCACCGAAGCTGCCCGTCATGTATTAGAAGAAAATAAGGAGCCCGCGGTATTTCTTAACAACCCTCCCCGTTCCCTGCAGCTCATTGTTATTCGCACACACTCTCTAACCTTCGAGGCCGGCCAGCGGGGAAAATCACGCCCATGTGGCTGTGATTCATATTTTGTCTCTCTTGTTCTCAGGAAAACGGTGCTCAAATTTCCTGATCTGAAATCTGGAAGGTTTTAAAGACTTTAAACATTAAAAAAGAAAAAAAGAAAAAGTCCAGCTGCTGTGGTTCTCTTCTTTGAATCTCATCCAAGTGGGGTTTAATGTTAAAAAATATAACTCAAGTAAAATAATAAGTGCCATATGAGTGTGGGGATAGTGTTGGTTTTAAAGGATTTTGGAACAGCTGTAGATTAGTTCAAGCCAATAAATTCAGAGTGTGATTTCATCTCTAAAAAGGATTAAAGCAAATTAAAAAGGTTTATTTGAAAGGGAGATGAATATTTAACAAACATTTGATAGTTTAAAGATTTGGGGGGTTCAATTAAAATTAAATTTTCCAATTATTCCTGAAATAAATAAAACAAATCAATTATGTAACAGCAGTATGATTGTTGAAACATTTCATACTTTTCAGTAAAAATACTGCCTGCTTTCAAAATAACAGTCTCTTTGTTGAGACAAGTCTGCATTGCAACATGGGTTGTGAAAATAACCCATGTTGCAATGCAGACTTGTCAAAAGATCCTCTGTGTCATTTTCAAACATGGCTGGCTTTAGTCAACCTTAGGTTGTCTCTACTGTCTACTCAAATGGTGCTCAGTTTCATTGCTGTTTGAAGTAACAGGAGAATAGGCAGGTCACACGATAAGCTGAAAGGTGTCAAACAAAAGGCTTTGTGTATGTGCAGAGCTAGAGTGATGTCTGAATCTCGTTGTTTGACTGGTGCAATTTTGACTTGTGAAATATACATAAACCACATTGTTGAAATAAACCAGAGTTTTGTCATTCTGTTTTTATACAAGGGATCTTAAATCTCAAGGAAAAAGTTTGTAATACTGATGAAAAAGCATTGAGAGGTCAAGTAAAGTTAGTCTTTAAATGGTTGTTGTTTTTTCTTTTGCTTTTATATTTAAATTCCCCTTTGCATAGGCTCATATGCATTATTATTCATTCATTATTATTATTATTATTATTACAATGAAAGGTGTACAATGAAAGGTGTACGCTTTGAGGCAATTGCCGTCTTTGGATTATCTGATTTAAGATTTAGAGGCCTGCACCGTTTAACTACAATGAGCTCATTAATGCAACCTGAAAACATGCAGTAGATTGTATTCTTATTCGTTTGCAGACGATACTTTTACTAAAATGTGTTAGTGACAGTTCTGTATGTAGTAGGTACAACATCAGTCATTAGGAGAGATATTACAATACAGAAACAAATGCCCAATAAAAAATGCCCGGTGTACACATTTCAGGTGTTTGATTGAGCTGTTTTCCATCTAATCATCAACTTTTTATCTGCAAATATATAAAGATGAAACAACGCTCCATTGTAGTCTTTTAATTATTTTTACAACACACTATCAAATGATTGAACTTCCATTGCATTTCCTTCATTTTGTATGTCTCACTGCTTCCCATGGTCGCCAATTTCATTTAACTTTTTTTCAGAAGAATTGAACGTATTAAGAGAACTTACTCATCTCGTCATACCGCAATTGTATGGGCCGCTGTTTGTAAAATGTTGCAGGTTCTAAAATCCTGCGCAGTTTTGCTACATTCAGCATTAGCATATGACCAAAAAAGCACGACAATATTCATGTCACTTCAGACATTTACAGAGAAATTCATGTAAATTGATGCAATAACTTTTCCAAGGATAATGTTTGCCAGTAACACAAAGTTGTTAAATAATATAAATCTTAAATGTAAATCTATATGTTAAATGTAAATCTAAATGTTAAATGTTAATGTTAATGTTATATCACATGTGACATTTATATTTACATTTAAATATAACATTTAGATTTAGATTTAACATTTAGATTTACATTTAACATTTAGATATAACATTTAACATTCACATTTAGATTTAACATTTATATTTGCATTAACATTTAGATATAACATTTAACATTTACATTTAGATTTAACATTTAGATTTACATTTAACATTTATATTATTTAACAACTTTGTTACTGCCAAACATTATCTTGGAAAGGTTATTGCATGAATTTACAGGAATTTCTCTCTAAATGTTTGAAAAGGTGACATATGAATATTGTCGTGCTTTGTTGTTCATATGATAATGCTAAATGTAGCAAAACTGCGAAGAATTTTAGAACGTGCAACATTTTACAAACGGCGCCCCATACAATTAAGCACCTAAAAGTTTGCGTTCCTGATGTCTAATGAATCTTTGTTTATCTGGGTTGTTTAATGCAATGCTACACCTGTCTGTCCCTCCGCCCCCCCCGTCGTGCACCCTCTCTCTCTGGACTCTCTCTCTCTCTCTCTCTCTCTCTACCACATGCACGCAAGCATGCACCTTAGCGCCTGCAAGGAAAACTGCGTCAGAATTTTTTTATTTTTTTTAAAGAAGAATGAAAACGGTCAGTGCGCGCGTGGCGTGCGCGGTGTGACAGCCGTTGTGTTTTTGCCATTGTGCCACTCTGTGGCATGTTGCGCGTGACCGCTTCATCGCTGCCACCTCGTTGACTCTCCGTCACCATGAGCGCGCCGAACAAAGCGTCAGAAAAAAGGTTAGTGCGTGCGCGTGGGCAATAAGTTACGGTTTTGTTTCTCATAACACATTTGCACGCTCTGCAGTCTTTGAAAGAGAAGCTGTTCTATAGATTTAACGGGTAAAGCCAAACTCACAAAAGTGACCTGTCCTCGAGGGATTACTTTCGGCCACTTGTTTGGACACTTGTCTTTATTTGTAGCGAAGGAGCAGTCTGTATGACGGGACGCCTCCATGAAACAGACCGAGTTTAATGTGCTGAATTTAAGACAGACCGAATGGGATGTGGCCAGCAGGGGTCAGTGGAGTTTGATGCAAAGTCTGACTGTCAATAGGAGAAAACGCTTATAAAAGGTTGTTTTTTATTGATACTATATATTGTTGTAAAACCACGGACCAACTGAGCACTCAATATTAGTTCCCATACAAATGCAGAATGTGCTCTTTTATTAAACTAAGGGTTTTCCTTTGGACAGAATTGGCTCTAAAAATAAGCTGGAAAAACTGTTGAAGACAAGAAAAGGCAGCTTCCCACTTCTGATAAAGGTAAGAGTGTAGCTAACTTGTCATGTGGCTTGTGTTATCTAGATTATATAACCATAATTTACAGCGGGGGCCATGTTTTTGAGTGCTACCAAGCAACCCTACACCCCATGTTGATCCACATAAATGTTATTTGGGTAAATGGCAAATACTCAGCAGAATGGATTTATTAAGGAACAAACTCTATCTTGTGATGTTCTTGGCCTACACCACTAAACCATCTAGGAGAGAGGTTCCCTGCTCTTCCTAATGGCAAATGTTTCGAAAGCAAAGCCATCACATCTTGAGCCATTATGAAGCCACATTTCTTCTTCGTGTCCAACGTGGACAAAGGACCCTAAAGACGTCCGTATAGGACACTTTTCTGGTTACCGTTTTATTTAAATTTAATAATAGTGAATCATACTGAAAGGCAGATAATGTAAAAGGTTTACCATTTGGTCAGAAATACAATAAATATGTATGACCCTACATCAATTTCGCAATAATATTGTGAGGTTGATCATTAGTACTTTTACAATATATTTACGCATCAGAAATATGGAACATTTTGCTAAATTCTAAAAAGTACATTAATTTGCCCTAATGCTGCAATTAAAAATGGGAAATTAACCTTATGCAATACTACTATGCCACCCGGTACTGCAGAGTGTGTCATCCAAACTCTTTAGTGCTTAATCCCATCGCACACTTTCATCCGCTTTGCTGCCAGCCCTTTGAAAAAGGCTCCTCGCATATATATTCTCATTAGAAGAAGATAAGAAGGCTGAACACTTTTGAACATCGGTGCGAAATAGGAAAGAGTTGCGTCCGAGGCGTCGTTTGAAGCTGTTTAAGGGTTTATACTGTGAGTCGATTCCACTCTGTGGGTGTCAGTTCAGAAGATTCAGGCTATCCTAAAAGAGCATTTGCGTCATTACAAATAAAGGCAGCTTCTCACAGCTGTTGCGCTGTATACCTTTTCAAGATAGGAAATGCCCCGAGACTGTTGCAGGCAGCGTGTTTGTAGCTTTGACATGATATGACTCAGAACTGAAGGCAGCCTTCTGTTTATTTAATAAAGCACATACTGTATATCTTCATCTCTTCAAATGTCTTCATCGAGAAGCTGGAGACGAGAAAAATATACAAGAAAATATGTCATTAAAAACAAAATGATAATTACAAATAGTTTTAAACACTTTGTCGTTTAACTAATCTATTCAAAAAACTAATTCATGATCATTCGTTGTGCTCTTCATGACCTGCTCTAGATTATTTCAGCATCACCCGGCCCAGCTACTCTAGGAATAAGAAGTGCGCCTCCCCATTATTCTGATGAACCCTGCCCCTGATCGGGTTTCTCATCATAGCTTTGTCCTTTGTTGACACCGGACCCCCTGAAATAAAAGTGGCCATTAAGGGAAGAGAGCTCACCTCCGCTGATATCAGTGTCACCAAGCAGATTATTATAGCATACATAACGCGATCCTGCCTAACAATCTCTCTGTTTGTTTCTACTTCTGCATTTGTGTGCATACAATCGTGTTATCCTGCGTTTGCATTTGTCCGTTGCCAACTGAAACACCTCTGGCTTGTGGTTTGTGGTTCGCTTCCTCAACACGGGAACGCGTGGTAACCGCCGGCAGGATCCTCCCTGCACTGGACGGCTATCATCCGTCCCACTGGCGATGCCCACGGGACTGTGAAAGCCTCGGCTTTGATTGGCCTCGTTCTGACAAACCTGCAGGCTTTCACGCAGAGCAGGTGCTCCAGAGGGGACAACTGGGCCGAGACACTCCCCAATTCTGATAAACATTAATTGAACTTTTTAAAGAATGCTGGGTAAACAGCCACCCTGGGAGTTTTGTTAATGAGTGCCTGACTCGCTTGCATGAAGCGTATTCCTTCGACGGTGAGTCATGCGACGCAGAGCAGCCACGGCGGGTGTGCCGGCGCCCGCCCCCATCAGCCTTCCACCTCCGGAGGCCCAAGAGCACCGTTGTGTAATGATGTTGTGAGGTCTTAAGTATCGTTATATAATTTGATTGGTTTGACCCAGTTAGGCGCACTTATTCCATCATACATACATCATACATGTAGATGTATTATTTGCTACGCATACGGGATTATAAAACCGTCAGTCCAATGGGAGAAGCTGTCCCTCCCCTGTAAATGGACTGTACTTGTATAGTGCTTTTCTAGTCTTATGACCACTCAAAGTGCTTTAACATACATGTCATCATTTACCCATTCACCCCCATCCACACACTGATGACAGGAGAACCATACACAGTGACACCTGCACATCAGTAACTAACATTCACGCACTGTAGTCACAGCTACAGGAGCAATGTTGGGTTAAGTGTCTTGCCCAAGGACACATCGACATGTGGGTTAGCCGGGCCTGGGATCGATCCAACAACCCTCTGATTGGAGGACGACCGTGCCTCACACACACACGCCCCCTGTGTTTGGATGAAACTGTGATGCACGCCATGGCCTCTTGTATTTGGCACCCAGAGACAACAAGCGTCTCAATCCTCATTGTCTCCATCCGCCAAACATGTCATCAGATTAATCCCTGCAATTTGCCCTAATTGTTACATTTTGAAGGCAGCGTATTGTCTGTGTCAGTCGATCTCGGTGCCGACAAAGGCGGATCGCCTTGCCAGGTTGTTGTTGGAGGGTGACAGGACAGTCTGCGCTTATGGGGTCAAAAGAGGAGCGGACAACGCTCATCTTACCCGGGTGACCAACGCTCACCTTTGCCCACCGCTCCTGTAAGAGCGAGGAGACAGGGGGCCCTTGGCATCAGAGCCAATTGACAACGGGGGGTGTGTGGCACCAGAGATGCCGGGCCCTCATCACTCACGCAGGCTTGGCCGCACGGGTGTAGCTGCTCCATCCTCGGGTTCTCAGGAACTGGCAGGGCAGCGAGTCTGAACCCTTCCAGGTCAACACCCCCACTGAGCGCGATGGGGGCTCAACGCACATTGAGCAGCGAAACCTGCGACGCGACTCTTAGGATTTTGTAGGTAAACAAGCAGGCTCGAGTAATCTCCCACACACGTGCACTTGTCCACGTCGTACAACCACACCTGCCTCAGCTCTCTGGCAAGTGGGCCGTTTATATATTAGCTGATCAGCTTTATGAAATAGCAGACATGGCACCCTCGCTCGGGTCTCCTTCCAGGGATGGGAAGCGGATAATCTTGGATGACCAAGTGATTAATGAGGTATGGCTTTCATAGTTCAGGAATGAAAATTATAGACGATGGTGTTGAAGAAGAGTTATGCCTGTTCATCTATTTAATATTTAGGGATCTTTTCTCGGGTGGAGAGATGATGCGCTAGCAAATGTATAGGAAAATAGTATTTGTACTGACTGTGGTTTGTGGTTTGGAGCACTAGATTAGCCTCAGAGGTGGAGGAGTCCTTTTTTAGATTCACATTTGATAAAGAAATTGTTAATCCTTGTACTACTTGATAATCAAGGCCATGGAAAATCCATTTTGGCGCAATTCTTTGTGTTGTTTCGTGAATTATAAAGCACAAGAGTATAATGTGTACTCTGCATGTAGGTGGACTCAACGTGGGTTAACATCCACCTCCATCAACTATCCCACACAATTATCGGGAAAATTTTAAAATGTATGACAGAAAAAAAGGTCAAGCATCTCAGAATGAAGCACGAATAAACAAGCATGGTGAGCCACCAATTTTACCATCAAGTTAAAACATGTAATGTAGTATTAAAAGACAACTTGCAGTCGCCCTCTGCTTAAAACCACATACATATGTATATATAGACATATATATAGTCATGTTGTATCAGTACAGAATGTTCCTAACTGAAGCTAGGCAGTAAACGTAGAATGGGACTGATGCAGCACCCCATTTAGACTCTGACAGAGCTGCGCTACCATCAAATGTTACTGTTGCTCGACACACCAATGTGACATGAGCCTCTCCACATGGGAATACAATTCAGCTCATCTAGTCTGAGCTCCACTCCATTTTTTTAGCCGTGTCCACTCATCAGACGCGCAAACAAACACACAAACACATGAACGAAGAAATACACAAAATCACTTATTACTGACTGAAATAAAGCAAGACATTCAGAACTTGACTTGATTGTAATTGCTTAGCAATGTGTTGTAACAGTGTGTTGGATGTTCTATGAATACACTGACCGTGTACTGGTTATTCAGATATATCAGATATCATTGTGACAGTAGTTGTGGTAACGTCAGTTCTCCCTTTTACAATATGGGATTCAAACCTTCTCAGGCCTGTCAGCAATTTACCCGTGATGTGGTTTTCCTTTTGAGGGAGGCAAAGTGGATTTTTAGGGTGAGATGGACAGTCAAATGTTTGTGTGACACATTGGAAGAAGTAGGATTGAAATTTGGAGATTTCTACAAGAATCACATTTTTGAATTGGATAGCTCTTTTTTATAGAAACTTCTCATTTTAAATACACCTACAAAAGACATGCATCCTCTACCCTTCGTCTCTAGTTTGTGGTTGCAACGTTCCATTAAGCTGCGATTATCCTGGAGATGACAGCAGGTCATTTTATAGTCAAGTTTTTATTTTTTTATTTCACTACAATGAAATGGCAAATAGGGAATAACACCATTATACATGAACCTTATTCATTCATTGAATCCAGAATCTCATGTTTCTAGTCATACACACCGTGCAATTTCAGGACTGTTTAGGATCCTGAAATGCATGGGTTTTACCATAAAGCTGGCATGAACGTGAAGGGCTAGTCTCTGGGTATTCACAGATCCCCTTTTCAGTCAGATGTCTTCCAGTGAGAGGTCAAGGGACCTCTTGAATAATGGGCCTAATTTAGAAGCCATATTATGTCATATTAAGAAGCTAGCAAAGCAAGGATGGTTCCAATGAATTCATTAGGTTCTCTTGTTTCACATGACATCTTTAAGTCTAAGCCCTCTACATCCCTTTCCAGTTACAATATGTGTCACGGTGTGGTTCACTTCCTGTTG